TCCAGCTAAGAGGCCTTTGAAAAGCATGTAAAAAATTTCGGAGACCCTAAGTACAATGGTGTTCACAGTTGAACCATGTCCATTATACTGGACACTAGGATTCCTTTGTTGCACCTATGGGTATACATGCTCTGCTATCTTGCTTGAAAGAGGTTTGCTTTTGGCTTTTTCAGAAGGTTAATCATCTTTAAAAACACAAAAACGGTTTGTTTTCATATGAGAAAAACAAAAAAAAATTATTACGTAGTTAACAGTCGCGCATAGCGTCATTATGGTAAAAAACTTAGGACGGAGCGTGCTTAGCGTCCACAAGTCAACTTCCTCTGATGTCGCTTCCTCCTTGTGCACCATGCTCTTGGTGGAATTCCCAGTATGCTCCTCCATTTCACTTTTTATGGCTGGGCTTCAAGTTTGTCGCGTGACGCTTGCTCCTAGTTTTCATTTTTTTTCTGTATGTTTGGCACGTTGTGATTCAATTGTATCCTGGTGTACAGTGTACTGGACATGAAAACATTTTCACATTGCGAGCAAACTACTGATTACAAAAGCTACCTTTTTGCATCATTGTTTCTACAAGAGATCACTCGGCTTGCATGATTTAATTTATTTGAACTGCACAAAGAGAGCTTCTAAAATAATTTTGTATGCTTACCACATCATGTGCACACTTTTTTTTCTGTGGATGTCGCCCATATTCTAAGGCGCCCACATAAAGTGGGGCAGAGGGAGGAAAAACATTGAAAACTATATTGCTCGCCTCTTACAGCAGCTGTAAAAATGCTTTCGGCTTCGATTGAGGCTCTGCTTGCGTTTCTGCACCGACTTTTTTTGGTATGTCCAGTACACTGGTCGCTAAGGCGGAAAGGGATATACACAGATTATAATTGTTAATTTCTATTTGTTGATCGCACTTGGAAGATGGTAGCGTAGTGTTTCAAATTCATAGTTAGCACGATGACATATGGTACATGCAAAGTCTTCGTATGCCAAGTAACACAAATGGCAGGATGAGGTTGCAAGTCAGCCAAAGGGGGTAAAAGAATATTTTCTCTGCGTATTTCCGATTGGAAGGTTGAGAAAAGCTAGTATTTGTAGTAACTAGTAATTCTTAAAATTTCATATTTAGAAAATATTCAAGTGTGCATTATACAATACACCTTCAATACATCGCAAGGCATTTTTCGTAGCACGACCAAGTCATTTAATGATGCTTTAGAGCCTGTAGACCAGATAAGATTGCAGTAATGTAAATGAGAAGAAACGCATTAAATACTACTATTTTCGTTTTTACAGGTTGCATATTCTGGCATCGAAGCAACTCTTCTAAAATACAAAGTTTCTGACTAATGTGCTCGGTATGGCGATTCCATGCAATGTGCTTGTGAGAATGGACGCCGAGAGTTTTAACTGTTTGAAAAAGTTTACTTTCGGCAATATTCAATATTAGTTGATTAGACGCTTAAAAATATTCAGATTTCACACAAAACAGTGCAGCCTTGCTTTTAGAACAATTAAAGTGTCGAAAATTTGCCACAGTCCAGGCATATATTTTATTTATAACAAATGTAGCCCCTGTTGCTAAATCATTAATTTTGAGTAGGCTTGTGTAGATATTTAAATGCTTTAAATATTTGAATGCGGATTACATTATTCGAATCGACTTCAAAAGGAATTTAAAATATTGAAAATTTCAACGTATTCGAAATGAACAAATAAATGTATAATAGTCCATATGTAACCCCCTGTAAATGTAATTTCACTTCAGTGAAGGGGTGCTCAGTCGTGAAAACACCAACCAGGGCAAATCCACTCTGTCACGAAGCTTCATTTTAAGGTTAACTGAACATGTTACTCAAGTATCGATTCGTCATTTTTCAAGTTTAAAGGGGTACTGACACAAGATTTCGGGGCCGAGATAGCCTGCGGGGTCGATTCTTGTGAACATTTGTATATCATCTGCAAGATATCAACAGCGAATATAGCTTGGAAGGTATTTTAAATTCAGTTTGAAGTTTGCATGAGCCACCGACTCCATAGTGCTATAGACACCATCGGAGGTGACCCCGACGTGACCCCCTACTTCCCTCACGTCACTACGCTACCGTCAACAAAACAAGTTAGAATGACGACATAGCCACCATTTTTCTTTTGCCGCGTTAGTTCCCGCAGTCTATATTTCTCAGCGGCTGGTTGTGAGTGCATGGCCGTAGCACACGTTTAGAAAGTTATGTTTTTGGCGACATTCCAGTCCCATTTACTATTCGAAAGTAATTCTTTATGTGGACCGTGCGGAAGTGCGCCACAGTTTCATGTACGGATGTGGTCAAGAGCTGCACACGCTAGGTGGCGACAGTTGTGCCCAGTTTTTAGAACTCTCTCAAACCGAAACTGAAACTTATTGATAATGAGGGGCCTGTAATTAATTATCTGTCATGGACTACAGCAAAGGATGTGTCGTGTCATGACTAACAGGCCTCCAGCAACACATTGCAGCAGAAAAACGTGAGGCTAATGTTTTTGTGTCAGTACCCCTTTAAGGGGAGACACGATTTGGAAAAAAAGTTTCGTCAATCTGCAGGCTAGGGATGGATGGAAAGTCCTTTATTGAAAAAATAAAAAGGGGAGGCACAGGACCTCTGTGGGGATAAGCAGGGCTTTTTAACTACACTACTACTTCACGGTGTCTTCGGCTTTGCCTCATTGTATTCACTATCACTAGTATTGAGGCGGTATAGGGTCAGTCAGCTCTGTGGTTTGTCGGACCCCCTAAACCACTCTGATCAGGCAGTGGAATTTTTTTGTATATATTAACTTTGATGCTGATTTCAAATATGCAATTAGTTTTGTAGCAAGTTGCACAGTTTTCATTTTGTGCCATGACAATGTGTAAAATATAGTTCATTTTGGACGAACGTTCTATGCCAATAACCTTTTATGTATCATGGCCATCAATAGCTCATATTGCTTCCTCATTAACTGTAGAATGCAAACAATGGTCAAGAAATTGTGTATAAGACATTTTAATGGACAAAAAAATTAGGGTGAGAGTTCTTAGAATTCTCAGCCCATACTAATTGTTTGCTTTAGCTTCATAATAATTATACAGGCCATATCAATTTTTAAAGAAACTACTTGCACCCTCCATATGTTGAGGAACATCTGGGCAAACTTTCATCCTGATCTGGTGATCAGAAGTACCAAAGCATGTTTATTCTCAAGAAGTTGCCCAAAAATGGATCTTGAGAAAAACTTATTTAAAAAATACAGTGGAAACTGTAACCACTTAAACAATAGTTTTGTTTTAAAAGTAGTAACGTCAAATCCCCATTTCCGTGGTCATTGAACATAATGCATCTTGTATGCGCATAAACTGTACCATTATCGTGTATGTATCGGTTAATACATGGTTATTGCGATTTTTGTTGTGCACTCGCCGTGGCATGTCGTCCCCCACTGGGCGTCTTGACAGAACATCAAGCCCTAGAGATCAGAACACACTTTGCTTCTTTGAGTTGATGATGATGGTGGCTGTGTTGATGAGCCCCATCTCCTGGATTTTTTTTCGCAAGACGAAATACATATCCACCAAAATATGAAGTTGAGCACTTGCCCGGCTTGGCTTCTGATGGTGGTGCTTTGCACAAACTCGGTGTGCACTTGCTTCGCTTTCTTTCTTCTTAGTTCCTTTGCCACCGTGCCTCACTGTTCTCCGACTGTGCCGTGCTGTACGTGAGAGGTGTGGAGTCTGAGGGAGTGTCGTTTTTCACGTGTTGTGTATGTGTGCCTGTGCTTCTTCGTACCTGCGTCATGCCGAAGCTGGGACAAAAGCACCGAGTGCTGAAAATAGATGAAAAAAACGGCCATGATTCATGCTATTCAACGTAGCACGAAGAAAATTGGGGGATGTTTTTTCGATGTAGATATGAATATGGATGTTATTTATTTATTCGCAGGAAAGTGCAAATTTCTTATGGGTAAGCCAGTACTGCTTAGCACGTAGTTCCTTCGCGTCCCTGTCAGATAAGGTTTGATGAGGTTCCACTGTATAAGTCAAAGCTCATTTGTGTGGCAAAGATCTGCTTTTTAAGATGATTTCTTCTGTAATGAGAGATTGGCAATCATTGTTATTTTGAACATGTGGCTTTAGTGAACTCCTCATGCGAGATGCAATGGCAAGCAGCCAGGTAACAATTTTCTGGGGACTCTAGACAATGAACTCCTTTTTAGTTTTTGGTAGCCATCTTGTGCTCTTTAAAAGCGAGTTTAGCCTGCTTCAATTTTAATTAGTCTTCACTTTTTTTGTTGTGAAAGTAGAAAACCCAAACTTGTGAAAACTAATAAAAATTAAAAATATGTAATTTAGGAAGAAACTGGCGTTTTTGGACTTGCATCTCCCCTTAAAAACTTCTTATACTGCTTATACTGGCTTACATGCTTTAAGTGTAGTAAATTTTAAACTGGAACATATTTTACAGGTTGTCATTTGCATTCTGTTGAAAGCCAAATCATACTACTATTCAAAGTTGTTTCCGCTTCCTCTAAACCAAGAAGAATGGCATTTGCACAGACCTGGTTTTGATTTCTTAAAAATAAAAAATATGGCCATTTTCTTTAGAATATGTGATATATTCTATTTGAATTTGCTGCAAATTATACTACTATTCAAAGTTGTTTCCACTTCCTCTAAACTAAGAAGAATGGCATTTGCACAGACTTTGTTTCGATTTCTTAAAAATAACAAATATGGCCATTTTCTTTAGAATATGTGATATATTCTATTCGAATTTGCTGCAAAAGTGTTCAACCGAATCACTATTCCTTTTCTACCTCGATTTCACTATTTGCACCAGCCTAATTTTTATATCAGCATGTGTTATGTGAAGTACTGTGACTCTTGAGAAACAGGCAGCAGTACCAGAAACAAAAAATAATTTGTGAGCAAAAAGTGAAATTAGAGTTGTTTATATTTCTTGATTCCTTTACTTCACATCTCTGTATAGCAACGAAAGCTACTCCAGCTGGTGAACGGCTACTTGGTGGACTCCAACATGTTTGTCCGTAGCCTGGTTCTTTCTCAGGAGCACCTCTCTGTGTCAGATGACTATGAGGCTAAAGGTGAGCTCCTTTCCTACTATGCAATATACCTACTCTCTGTGTGTTAGGATTTCGGGGACCTGCACATTTTTTCAAGGTAGTAAGTTTACTACGTACATATGCTGGAAGTCAGCTGTGGGGACATTTTCTAGCTAAATTGGTTATGTTTAAAAGATCAATACAACATAGACCACTTGAGATTTATGTCGTTAGAGTCACAAATATCTGCACTATAAGTGGTACTGCATTATAATGAAAACATCCTTTTTCAAAGGCTGCAAATGTGCAAAACGTATAAAGAACTGAGACATGCAGCAGTGCTGTCTACATTCGTTTGTGTTTCTGAATGTTCAGAAAGCGATGTCCAAGGACATAGTTTGCTTGCCAAATGAGTGCAGAAGAAACAATTGATGGGTATTACTCTTGTAACACAAGAAGGTGAAAGCCTGGCTGCAATTATGCAATAAATATGAGCCTAAATGAGCAAGTACATATGTTCGGCATTAAATATATTCTCTGAATGCCTCATGCCAGCACTTTTGTCTTTGGTTGTCTCTTTCCAAGGTGTGCAGACTTTCTTTGCCTTTAAGTGTTTCTCAGACTCTGCAACTGCAGCTCTAAATTGTATGCTTCTTTTAAAGAAATACTGAACGAAACTTTTGCCGCCAAAATTTTCTGCCAAATCTAAAGATCGAATGCTGAAATCGAGAGACACAACCTTCATTTCAGGCAGACACAAACTTTAACATATTTTACAAACTGCACGCAGTAGTGGGAAACCTGTTCCAATTGTGCCAATCTGCACCAACTGAAAATTACTGCGCCATGCTGCTCCTAAAGGGTCTTTTTTGTCTAATTTGCACCATTGCTGCACTACAAGGTGGTTTTGGAACAGAGAATAATGTTGACAGCGCACGCACCATTATTCTATTGACTATGTTTACTCTTCGAGGTGGGGCAGTTCCTCACTGTTAGCGCTGCCCCTGTAACATGATAGCATCATTGCAGCGAATTTTATAAGTGCATGACCCACGACACTCAACTCTGCAACAGCGAGCTGCTATATTTTACTTCTACAAAGTGGTGCATGCTTGACTGTGAGGCGGCATGCGATTGGTGGCTAGAGGCATGCAGTAGGCTTAAAATAACGCTATGTGACACGTGTGCTCAAGCGCGCAGCTCAAGATACTTATTGGCTGTTGTCTGCATTGAGTCATACTGGCACATTTGTCGGTGGCCGTCACCTCGCCTTTGTTTTTTCTCTAGGCTTACCTGCACATTGCTGTAATTACATGGAAGCCGGAATCATTTATCGACTGATTTCTGCACTTCTCAAAAGTTTTGGAAAAATTGTGGTGTCAAAAAGTTGAGAATTCGTCTAGTATGTTTAACGTGTGGACATACCGCAGTCAAAACTCGTTAATACGTACCCACTTTAAGCTACAGTGAAGTAGTGAGGTAGAGAGGTGGTCGAGTTGGATTCGATGCATTTTGTAAAAATCTGCACGAGTCAGCGCTGCTTCCTATTCTCAGGCTCCGTCCCATTCACGCTAGTTTTTACAAGATCCACTTTAGCTTACTAATAGTTAAAATATAGTTGCTATCATTTCATGACCGATTCTTATAGACTAATGCATTTGCTGACCATTAAGCCATAATGGCTCATGTTATGCCTACCGTTTGTGGGTACCAGCTGTGTACCGCGATAACTTTTTGTGCCGTAGAAGTTGTCTGTGTCGCTGAATTGGCCTACCTGACAATGTCCCACGAACGGTATTCCACCATTTTGAAAAGCTTGTAGTTGACAGATCAATTATTTCGACTTCAGCACGATTGCGGGAATGCCTTTGCTTTCATTAGGAAAGAAAGAAGGCAATCTGGGAAAGACCGATAAGTGCGTCAGTATGACTTATCGCCAACCAAAAGCCTTATCACAAAGCTATCTGCTCAGGCATGTCTGCGTCTTGCCCGAGCATTAAGCCTACTGTGCGCTTTAAGCCTACTGCACGCTTTCATTAGACAGCGACTACCTGACCGTGCTGGTCCGCCTGACCTTACCGTCTTATTATCAATGTGCACCGTTCAGTGTGTAAAAACAGCTCGCTGTTACGAATGAGTGTTGTGGGTTGCGAGCACCGAGGCACCTCAATGCATTGATGTTATTGTGCTAACCACAAGTGTACGGTACATCTTGTATAGTGCTACATGTTGTTACCATACTGCGCGCTTTCATTAGACGAAAGTACAAACGCGCCTCCATCTGCTGCAAGGACCGCTAGAGCATCACTTGCAAAAAGCTCGTCATTATTGCATTGTGTTAATACAAAAGGCTTTCCGCCACATCTGTGCACATTCTGTGGCAGAGTGGGGGCAAGCAGCTCAGTACGGCATGTACGCCGAGTAGGTGAAGCGCTGCACGCAACTAGCCAGTAGCCTATCAGCTCCCTGCAACCGTACCACATTTTAAAAAAACTGTCAACGTTGCTAAGTAGCTGATTGTGGTACACATTTATGGTGGATTATGTCTGTTTTGTCGCTATGTCAGCCACTGCGTCAGCTGCGTCTCCCGGACTCTGCAGTAGTTTATAAATGATGCTTGGTGGTGCCACCACCTGCCATTGAACGGTGTGCAGGAGTACCAATAATTTCTGAACCTTGGCAAAAAGAAAAGTGGCTTTGTGGTGAGCACATTAGGCAATATTATATGTCAATGTATTTATTCCTTTTTAGCGGTGATGGCGCACGTAAAGAGATGCAAATTTGTACTTCGTGGTTAATGCATACTACATTAAGTGCGTAGTTATGCTGCATTCTCAACAGGTTCTCGGCATGTTGCTATGAACTTCATGCTGCTGTGCTTCGTTCGTCTTTTTCACTTTCCTATGTCTCGTGCCATTTTTTGCTTTGTTGATTCTTCACTATTTTGTGTCACCTCATCTGTACGTAATAGTACTTTTGTTTATTTTTTAGTGTTTGTTTTGGGAGCGTGCTGCCTCTGTAAAAGTGATAATGTAAACTGGGGGAACATTAAACTAAATTAAAGCTGAAGTTCTATCGGGAATAGTTCATGCGTACTCCAAACACAGGGGTAGCTGCTCCGAAAGCACATTTTGCCTGCTTCAGTGGCTGCTCCAAAATGCTGGAAGGCATTCCCACTACAGTGCCCCGTCTAGTGGCTTCACCGTGGACTAGAGGAGGTAATCTTTAGCGACTGTACAAGGCCGGAAATGTGCATGCCAACAATGTCAGTCGTTGCCCGGGTCTCTCAATCCGCTCTGCGTCTTCTACAGTTTCCATAACCACCACAAACAACACCGGTAGCAAACAATTCTCCCAGCCGAGGTAAAGCATCAGCGCTTTTGTGGGAGGAGGAGAGTGGGTTGAAAAGAGAGGTGGAGAAGAAAATGGGGAGGTTGGGAACACATGCACCCTGCATGCATCGCGGCGATTGTGATGTCATGGCTGCCCCGCCGTGGTGGTCTAGTGGATAAGGTACTCGGCTGCTGACCCGCAGGTCGCGGGTTCGAATCCCGGCTGCGGCGGCTGCATTTCCGATGGAGGCGGAAATGTTGTAGGCCCGTGTGCTCAGATTTGGGTGCACGTTAAAGAACCCCAGGTGGTCAAAATTTCCGGAGTCCTCCACTACGGCGTCTCTCATAATCATATGGTGGTTTTGGGACGTTAAACCCCACATATCAATCAATGTGATGTCATGGCTTGCGCTCGTGTGTAGCCACCGCGCTCTGACAGTCAACCAGAAGGATAGCGAACCGTTTAAAAATATGTGAAATAAACTCCTTTTATCGGAACAGTCTCAATTTCCTAGGAATATTTTTGTCAGGTTTTCCAATTTTTGTTCAGTATCCCTTTAATGTGTCCTTTTGCCCGACACAACTATTTCTGAAGCATTTTCAAGGGCTGACAGGGCTCTGCGGTAGAACACTTAGCCGCCATGCAGATTGTATGGGTTTAATTATAGTTCGAACCCCGATTTTTTTCTTTGCATCTGTCGACATGACTACTGGATAGTCATTTTTCGAAGTAGTTTAAAGCACTGATGTAACCCGATGGTAGAATCTTTGACTGCCTCGCAGAATACGTGGGTTTGATTCCAACTCAAAGCCTCACTTTTCTTTGCATTAATTGTGTGTTCGTTTTTCTTCTTACCCCCACCCATCCACCCACTCACCCTCCGTTAACATCACCACTTCTTAAAGTGGTACTCCAACCCTTTGAGAGGCTTAGCACATGATGGTGTACACCACTTTTTTATGCTAGATGTCAGGAGGCTAAAAAAGAGTAAGATATCATAAGTGTCGAATGAATTGAACCTCCTTCTTAATAAATAGGCCTTCATTTCGCCTGATTTTGCAGTGTGCTGTTGCATATGATCATCATTTTCCCGAGGGCACTATTATGTTGATCAAATCGTTCGAAGTACTGTTTTCAGATAGCCACGCCAAAAGTACGATTTTCTTTGCTGAAAATGAACACAGCCGAAAACAAAACTCGCAATAAATTTCTAGGCTGAGATTTTATTGTCAGTTGAACCCATTTATAACGAACTCGAAAGTGCCACAATAAGTGGTTATATCAGTAGTTCATTGTATATAGACTCACTGATAATAATGTCCACTTAGCAGCCCCTCCGGTAGGCCTTTTCATGTTATGCGATGCCCACTTGCTCACAAGTGAATTAAACCACGTTCGCAATGAACTCATGCTGTTGTGCTGAAGCGCAGTACTGCCACTTGGAAACAATCGTCCGTGGCTGGTTGCGTGCAGCATGTAATTTTTTTCATTTTTTATTTATTTATTCAAAGTACCTTAAGGGCTAACAGGGCACTGTGTAAGGGGAGCATAAAAAGATCATGTACCTGGTTTTACATTACGTAAATACAAACAATGAAATGGGATAATTTTTTTTTGCAATTATACAATGTGTAATAGTTAACTATATAAAATGCAATGTGAACTAAATACAGAGAACATGCTAGTGACTATGAAACAACAGGCTACCA